CTGCGGACGCCTGCAGGGCTACCTCGGTGTCTCGGTGGACTGAAGGCTGGCTCCCGAACTATTGCTGTTGTCCCAGTGCTGCCTCGGTATCTGCACTGAGTGCAGAGCGTAGTATCAGCACAACCGACCCCATGTGCTGGTAAGTGTCTGGCCTAACCCCGGCGAGGTAGTGACAAGGCTAGGATCAAACTCCAGATAAACGTGTGCAGCTATATAATATATGGAGGAAAATAAACAAGTAATAAGCAGTTTGAGGGAGGGGGTACATGCTTCGGGGAACAGAGCAAATCCAACGGAAACTTAATAAAATATGGAAGGACAGTTCGATATCTACAACAAGTCAATAATACTACTGTTGCTGCGCGCAACCTGATCCCTTATCATTTAACATTGTTGCGACGTGCAACCCGATCCACATATATAACTGTTGCGGCGTGCAATCCGATCAATTATAATATCTGTTGCGGGGTACAACCCGATCCAATATAATATCTGTTGCGGCGTGCAACCCGATCCACATATATATAATAATAATGTTGCGGCGCGCAACCCGATCCATATATATAATATCAACAGTGATCATAATAACAGTCCCGGCAATGGATCAACAATAGACTACACTATCCCGACAAGGGAATTCAACAGTACAAGTATATACGTCCCGGCAAGGGAGAATCAGCTATAACCAATTTCAATTCAACTCCTACTCATCTCAGTTATCACCATTTCTCAATCATAAGTAACTACCACGAAAATAAACTAAGTCTTTACTCATTACCAAGAATTCACCCACTAAAGCAATCATAGAATCATTTAAGAATACCGCAAGTATCAATTTAAGACTCATGGTCATGCTCGACACCAACGTATAGATACTCGTCACCAAGCCTATACGTCGTACTCAACAAGAAGCAAATAGCAAATAGGACTCAACTCCTAATCCCTCAAGCTAAGGTTAGACCGAACACTTACCTCAAACTTCCACGGCCAACTCAAGCCTCAAATACCGCCTTTCCTTTCGAATTTGGCTACAACACAATCGTATCTATGCATAATCGATTTAATAACGTCAATAAATGCTAAACAATCCGATTCCAATGCTTAATTATAGCTTTCTAACCATTCTTCCTAAAAATCCAAAAATCGACCCCGGGCCCGCTTCGTCAAAACAAGAGGTTCGAACCAATATCCGATCACCCACTCACCCACGAGCCCGAATATATAATTATTTTCGGAATTCGACCCCAAAACGAGGTCTAAATCACAATTAATCAAAAAGTCCTAACTCTACCCAAATCCCTAATTTTCTACCCTTATTCACATGATTTAGGCCTAGAAATCTAATGGGTGTTAATGAAAATCAAAGAAAATGAGTCTAAGATTACATACCTATGAATTTGTGGTGAAATCCTCTTTCAAAAATTGCCCAATTTGGAGTTGAGATGAAGAAGTTATGAAATTTTGAACAAATCCCGTTTTAGGCTACTGTTTTAAGTGTTGGGCGACAGTGTTCATCGCGTTCGCGAGAACACTGTCGCGATCGCGAAGGCTGCCAGTAAGTGGACTTACGCGATCGCGAGTTCTTCCACGTGTTCGCGAAGGGTTGAACCCCCTGACCTTCGCGTTCGCGGACACACGTACACGTTCGCGTAGAAGAACGACCAAAATCCCAGCCCCCTCCAATTAACACTACGCGTTCGCATCACACAGGTCGCGTTCGCGATGAGCAATCCCCCAAAGCTCCGCGTTCGTGATTGTGGCTTCGTTCGCGATGGACAAATCCACCCCTGTCCCCATTTACCTTACGCGATCCCGAGAGTAACTACGCGATCGCGATGAACAACAGGCCTGAGCACCTATGGAAGAAAATCTGCAACTTTTCCTTAAGTTCAAATTTTTCCGAAACACACCCGAGCCCTCGGGGCTCCTAACCAAACATACGTACTAACTCAACAGCATCATACAAACTTATCCGTGCGATCAAATCGCGAAAATAACTTCAATAACAACGAATTAAATCTCAAAATCAAGGAATTTTTCTCTAACTTCATAAAACATCAACTTTAGCAATTTAGGTCCAAATCACGTTAAACAACGTCTGTTTTTCACCAAATTTCACAGAAACATCTTAAATCATATATAAGACCTGTACCGGGCACCGAAACCAAAATACGGGCCCGATACTAACATGCTCTAATCAAATTTCATTTCAAAATTCCTTAAACAATTTCAGAAAACAATTTCCTTTCAAAATTGATTTCTCGGGCTCGGGACCTCGGAATTCGATTCCGGGCATACGCCCAAGTCCCATATTTTTCTACGGACCCTCCGGGACCGTCAAATCACGGGTCCGGGTCCGTTTACCCAAAACATTGACCGAAGTCAAATTAACTCATTTTATAGCCATATTTTACCATTTTTTAAAGATTTTCATATTTAAACTTTCCGGCTACGCACCCGGACTGTGCATGTAAATCGAGGTGACTCTAAATGAGGTTTTTAAGGCCTCAGAAACATAGAATTTAATTTAAAACAAGTGATGACCTTTTGGGTCATCACATCAATCAAGCCACCTCGTGGCGTACATATCTCGGGCCCTCGGCCTCACATCAGTATCAGTGTATCACCGCTGCGGCGTGCAGCCCGACCCAAAAGATATCCTCACAACACAGGCCCTCGGCCTTACTCAGTCAAAAATCACATATGCCTCTCGGGCAACAGTAAAACAGTGTTTCTCAGCGCAAAACATCATTTAAATATCATTTGAGTATTAAAACTTAGTGAACATGGCTGAGTTTTGAAAACAATGGAAAATAACACGACTGAGTTCAAATGTAAAGTCAAAACAGTGAGGAAATATCAACAAAAAAACCCCGAAGGGTTTAAATAGTTGGCACGAAGCCCAAATATGGCATTCAGCCAAAATAATGATGATAACAAATAGATTTCAGTCAAATACGCGGTAAAATCATCAACCGGTACGGACCAAGTCATAATCCCCAATAGTGTACGACCCCATGCTCGTCAACAAGTGTGTGCCTCACCTCAATATAGCACTACGATGTGCAATCCGGGGTTTCAAACCCTCATAACATCATTTACAATCATTACTCACCTCGAACCGGCTAAATCTCTAGCTCGCGACGCCTTTGCCCCTCGAATCGGCCTCCACGTGCGTCGAATCTATCCAAAATCAGAACGAGGACGTCAATATATGCTTTGGGAACAAAGCCCAAGAAAAAACAATCAACAAAGGGCACAAATCCCAAAATTACCAAAACCCGAGCCCTGGGCCCACTTCTCGAAACTCGGAAATTTTCACACCAATAGATTCCTTATCTCCCCACGAGTTCATACATATCAAAAGTTCTCTAATCCTACCTCAAATGGTCCTTCAAATCCCAATTCAAAAGTCCAATTTCTCAAGCCCTAGTTCTTCAATTTTTAGGCTTAGCTTTCATGATTTTCTAGGTGGAATTCACATAATAATCGAGCTTTTAGTCCAAGAAACTTACCTCCCAACGATTCCCCTTGAATCCCTCTTCAATCTCTTTCAAAAATCTCCAAAAACGAGCAGCTATGGGTGAAATAAGCCCCAAAATCGCGGACAAGACGACTTAAAAACATTCTGCCCAGGCCTTAATTTCCTTCTTCGCGAACGCGGTCAAAGCCTCGCGTTCGCGAAGCATAAACTTGCGTTTACCATCTTTTACTCTTCGCGAACGCGACATGGCAGACGCGAACGCGATGCCTTACACAGCCCACTCATCGCGAACGCGTCCTCAACCTCGCAAACGCGATGCATCACTTCGCCAACCTACGCGAACGTGACCCAGTCTCACGCGAACGCTATGCCTACCAATCCAACCCTCCGCAAACGCAAAGCCTCTCTCGCGAACGCGAAGGCTAAATTCCTGGCCTTCCTCATTCCTTCTTCGCGAACGCGAGACTCCACTCGCGAACGCGAAGAGATAAATCTCTGCAACAGCTGAGCAGATTTTCTGCAATTTTCCAAACTTCAAAAATGATCCGAATGACCACCCGAAACTCACTCGAGGCCCCCGGGACCTCAACCAAAGGCACCAACACATCCTAAAACCTTATTCAAACTTGTTCCAATCATCAAAATACCTCAAACAACATCAAATCACCCAAAACACATCGGATTCAAGCCTAAGTTTCTAAAATCTTCATAAATACGCTTTTGATCAAAAACCCAACCAAACCATGTCCGAATGACCTGAAATTTTGCACACACATCCCAAATCAAATAAAGAAGCTACTGCAACTCTCGGAATTCCATTCCGACCCTTATATAAAAAATCTCGCCTACCCACCGAAAATCGCCAAAATATCAACTTTGCCAATTCAAGCCTAAATCTACTCCGGACCTCCAAAACCCATTCCGATCACACTCTTAAGTCATAAATCACCTCCCGAAGCTAACCGAACCATCGAAACTCACATCCGAGCCTTCTAACACATAAGTTAACATCCGGTTGACTTTTTCAACTTAAGCCTTCCTAAAAGAGATTAAGTGTCTCAAACTTCACCAAAACCAATCCGAATCCAATCCGAACAACCCGATACCTCAAAACACGGATAAACAAGGCATAAAGAAGCAAAAATGGGGGAGACGGAGCGGTAACTCATGAGAGGACTGGCCGGGTCGTCTCAGGTAGTTAGGAGGTTAGCGTCTTGTTTTCTTTATAAATATACAGTAGATGCTCTTGTAAGTATACGGGATTCATTTTCTTTCTTCTCAATGAAGCAGTTACTCTGTTTCTTCCTTATCGTTCTCTCCAAGCTAAACCTTCAATCTAAGAACCTCCATAACGATGGAAGCTAACATGGTATCAGAGCTTGTGTCTACAATCGGAGCTTAGTTCCTCGCTCATCTGTGTGTATGTGTGTTACTGTAATTCAACTGAAGTGTCTGATGGTAACAACACCTCTGAGCTAGGGTTTTATTCAATTTGACCTCTGAAAAGGCTTAATCAATGGCGATAGGAGACGAAACAAACGAGAGTGCTTCCAGACATGCAAATGTACCAGTTGCACCAGCTAGTTTCCCCACGATTGATCACAATCATCCTCTATTTCTTCAACCGACAGATACTCCTGGTAGCTCACTCATTTCTCTTCAGCTAACTGGCTTAGATAACTATGCTTTATGGAGTCGATCTATGAGAATAGGTCTGTTAGGTAAAAGTAAAATAGGATTTATGGATGGTAGATATCCAAAATCTAAGTTTGAGCCTGAATTTCATGAGCAATGGGAAAAGGTAAATGCTGTAGTACTCTCTTGGATTATGAATGTTGTGCGTCCAGTACTGTTGAGTACTATAGTGTATGCTTCGAATGCTCACAAGGTATGGGAAGATCTGAAGGAAAGATTTGACAAAGTGAATGGATCTAGGGTTCTATACCTGCATAGAGAGATCCATACACTAACACAAGGAACAATGAATGTAGCTGACTATTTCTCTAAACTAAGAGATCTATGGGATGAGTTTGATGCACTCATGCCTTGTCCTGGTTGTCCCTGCTCAGAGTCAAAAAAATATGCTGAGCATTTTGAGTATCATAGGTTACTTCAGTTCCTTATGGGACTGAATGACTCTTACTCTCAAGCTCGAAGTCAAATCATGATGATGACACGAGTGCCTAGTATTTAACAAGGCATATTCTTTTCTTATGGATGTGGAAAGTTAGAGGAATCTGGCAAACTTCACTCAAATGGTGCAAGTGATAGAAGTTGGTGACAATACTGCTATGTATGGCAACAAAAGTCCAAATCCTAGCACTGGACAGTTCATAGCTCCGAAGAAGACACTAAGTTATGATTACTGTAACTACAAAGGTCACACCAAGGAGAAATGTTACAAACTAATAGGATATCCTCAAGACTTCAAGTCCAATTTTAAGACAAAGAAGAAGGGGGCAACTCAGGAGCATATGCTAATCATGTCAATACCAACTACAGCCCTACTATTGAAAATGCTCATATGCAGATGCAATTTGGAGGGTTGCAGGGCAGAGGAGAAGGAGTAACAGGTGGGCCCTCTATTACACCTGGTTTTCAGCCTCAACAAATGCAGATGATAGCTATACCAATTAGAGTTCAGACTCAGCAACAAGCAGCTCCCTACTGTACACAGGAGCAGTATCAGCAGATAGTGCAATTGCTTAACAAGGGAGCACATCAAGTCCTTCTACCAGAGCTGCAACTGTAGGTAAACTGATAGCTCTATTATCCATTCATGCTAATCACAATTGGATAATAGACTCTGGAGCTTCAAACCATATGACATCCACATTAGAGATGTTAAGTTCCTGTCAGTCAATTCCACCTCAAAAGGGAAGTAAGGTTCACTTGCCAACAGGAGATGTTGCCTCTATTACACATATAGGAAAAGCAAGTGTGCTTAGCTATCAGGATATCAACAATGTACTGTACATCCCAGAGTTTAAATACAATCTACTGTCTGTGTCTAAATTGACCAAAGAGTTGCAGTGTCTTGTGGCATTTTTTCCTAACTTCTATATCTTCCAGGATCTCTACAGTGGTCGGGTGAAGGGGATTGGTAAGGAGGACAAGGGATTGTACCTACTGCGAGGCAAGTCATTAGTAGGTGGTATATTCAATCATGATCCTGCTCAACAAAGGAATAAAACTTTGCAACAAGTATCTGAGGTGAAATCTGTACATAAGTCTACTATGTCTGAGAATAAGTTTGCTTGTATGGCTAGTGAACACTCTGAATCTAGTGTACTTTGGCATAAAAGATTAGGCCATGCACCTATAGATGTAATCAAGAAGTACACAACTCTAAGCAATTTGAAGGACTGTCACACACACTGTACTGTATGTCCTTTAGCCAAGCAAACAAAGTTACCTTACAAGCTCAGTACTACTACTTCTAAGGCTATTTTTTAACTAATTCATTGTGATGTATGGGGGCCACACAGGGTACCTACATATAACAGTAAAAGGTTCTTTGTTACTATTGTAGATGACTTCTCTAGATTTACCTGGGTTTTCTTTCTTGTCTCCAAGTCTGATATAGTGATTGTTCTTAAAGATCTCCTAACAAAGGTGAGGAATGTATTTTCCACAACAGTTAAGACCCTTAGAACTGATAATGGTAGTGAATTCTTTAATCAAGAAGTTCACAGTTTATTGTCATCCATGGGTATTATTTATCAAAGTACCTGCACTTATACACCTCAGCAAAATGGGGTTGCTGAGAGGAGACACAGAACAATCTTAGAAATGGCCAGAACTCTGAGGTTTCAAGCTGATGTTCTTTTGAAATTCTGGGGAGATTGTGTATCTACAGCTGTTTACTTGCTCAATGGTCTTCCCTCAAGAGTTATTGGTGGCAAATCACCGTTTGAGATGCTTTATTTGCATGCTCCATATCTCTCACATCTCAGAGTATTTGGCTGTTTGTGCTATGTAACTTCACCCAAGGAGCTGGACAAATTTGCTTCCAGAGCAGTACCTGGTGCATTTCTAGGCTATTTTTCAACTCAGAAGGGGTATAAGGTCTATGATCTTCACTCAAAAACCTTTATTGTAAGTAGAAATGTGGTGTTTAAAGAAGACATTTTTCCCTTCAAATGCTTACAAACCACTGGCACACCCATCTTTCATGTCCTAGATCTACTTCCTACAGTCACTGAAATGCATCATGTACCTGAACTCTATGATATCCCTTTGACACCAATGTCATCTCAGAGCCCACCCATTGATACATTCCCACCTGACTTTCAAACTTCAGAGGAACCTCCCTCTTTAGGTTTTTCTCCTTCTCCTTTAGCAGTGAAAACCAGTACTTCAGACTCTTCTCAGACTCCCTCTATGAGTCTTAGAAGATCATCAAGACCTAGCAAGCCTACTCTGTGGCTTCAAGATTATATGACACAACCAGCCACATCTCACACCTGCAAATACCCTATCTCCTCATATGTATCCTATAATGCTTTCAAACCTGCTCACATTCATGCTCTATCCTCCTACTCTTCTAATACTGAACCAAAGTCCTTTAGCAGCTTCAGATCCCAAATAGATTGCAGCTATGAAACTTGAAATAGCTTCTCTAGAAGCCAATCACACATGGAGTATTGTGGACCTTCCTAAAGGCAAAGTTCCTATTGGGTGCAAATGGATTTTGAAAATAAAGTTCAAGGCTTCAGGGGAAGTTGAGGTACAAGGCCATGCTGGTGGCCAAAGGGTATAGCCAGAAATAAGGGCTTGACTACACAGAAACATTTTCTCCTGTAGCCAAGATGGTTACAGTGAGAACCATCATTGCCTTAGCAGATGCTAAACAGTGGGTCATCTATCAAATGGATGTGCACAATGCCTTCCTCAATGGTGATCTACTGGAAGAAGTCTACATGCAGATTCCTGATGGGTTTGCTAGACAAAGGGAGTCTCACAAGGTCTGCAAACTACATAAGGCCTTGTATGGGCTCAAACAGGCCCCAAGGCAATGGAACAAGAAATTAACATAGGCATTGCTACACATGGGCTTTCTACAAAGCCACTTTGACTACTCTATGTTTACCAGACACAAGGGCAGTGATCTAGTTGTGGTGCTGATGTATGTGGATGATCTACTGATCACAGGCAACAATATGATGTTATTGAATCAGACAAAAACTGATTTGCAGAGATACTTCAAGATGAAAGATCTAGGTGATTTGAAGTTCTTTCTGGGCATTGAAGTTGCTAGATCAAAAGAAGGTATAGTCATGTCTCAAAGGAAATATGCCCTGGAACTCATCTCTGAGTCAGGGCTAGGGGGAGCTAAGCCAGCAGGCACACCTCTAGAGGTGAATCAGAAGCTAACATCTGAGGAGTATGACAAAGTTGTAACAGGCATAAGAAGTTCAGAAGCATCAGATGCTATACTCAAGGATCCAGGCAGTTATCAAAGACTTGTAGGGAGACTACTTTACTTGACTATGACTAGAACAGACATAGCCTTTGTGGTTCAAGTCTTGAGCCAGTATATGCATAGTCCTAAGGTGTCTCACATGGAAGCTACTTTGAGGGTTGTGAGGTACATAAAAGGAGCTCCTGGACTAGGACTCTTCATGCCAGCACAGAATGCAAATGAATTGTCTGCATACTGTGATTCTGACTGGGGTTCTTGCTTACAAACTAGGAGGTCAGTCACAGGTTATATAGTGAAGTTTGGTGATGCTTTGATCTCATGGAAATCAAAGAAGCAAGAGACTGTCTCCAGAAGCTGATTTTAGGAGCATGACATCATGTACTACTGAAATAGTATGGTTAAAAGGGTTGTTCAAAGAGCTTGGAATTCAGCTAAACTCACCTGTGAAGCTTATGTGTGATAGTAAGGCTGCAATTCAAATTGCAGCCAATCCCATCTTCCATGAAAGAACCAAACATATTGATATAGACTGTCATTTTGTTCGAGAAAGAATAGTACAAGGGGTATTGAAAACTCAGCATGTATCTACCAAGGAACAGTTAGCAGACTTACTCACAAAGGCTTGGGCAAGGCTCAACATGACTATCTTCTGAACAAGCTTGGAGTGAAGAACCTCTTCAAGCCTTCAGCTTGAGGGGGAGTGTTAAGAGAAGTGGATCTAGTAAACTATAGTTAGCTAAGGGGATTAAAAGGGGAGTTAGTTAACCTTATTAATATGGTTAGTTAGGAAAGTAGTTAGAAGGTTAGCGTCTTGTTACCTTTATAAATACACAATAGATGCTCTTGTAAATATACAAGATTCATTTTCTTTCTTCTCAATGAAACAGTTACTCTGTTTTCTTCCTTAGCCTTCTCTCCAGCTAAACCTTCAATCTAAGAACCTCCACAACTATGGAAGCTAACAGAATTTTCTATATATCCCAAAATATCACTTTTGGATCAATTCTCATCTTCAATGCTCTTCTCTTATTTTTTTTGGCTGCCATGTCATATCATTCCCAAAGCCAAAGCTTTACCTGATCACTCTTTTAATTTTTGGTCTTCACTGCATGCCTCCTTTTCTTCACTTCACTATCATTCTCCCTAAAAGATTAAAAGATATCGGTGAGTAATATTCTCTAAGTCCCTTCACCTTTTCTTTTCTCTGTTTAAAAAAAATATATTTTCTCTCGTATATATGTTGCACTCTATATTGCATACTACTACTATTATATGTGTTTTGCTTTCAATGGTCCAATCTGCAGTCACTTCGTTTCTTCTTTTAGGGGCAATTGTTTATATTATATTACACAAACTAACCAGAAACTTAAGTTATAAAGGTCCAGGAAAGCGCAAAAAACAAAATGCAACAGCTCAACTTCTTTGATTGACTAATAGCCCTTTAAATTCTCTAACTCTATGGAAATACTCACAGTTTTGGTAATTTTTTTTTCTTTTAAAATAGAATACGTAAATAGGTATATCTTTAGGCATCCTTTTACTTGTCATGAAACTTTTACACCGCCGGTGTAATTTAACATGTTACTTATTTATTATGTGTTTTCAATATTACTTAAATAGAGTAATTTGTAATTACCTTTAATTAATTAGCCAAATGGTGTTAATAATTTTTAAAATCGTATGTCGATAATATTGTTTAGAATCTACTAGATAGATAAGCTTCTGCTTCTTCTTTTTTTCTTTTTTGTTAATGACCAACGCATAGAATG